GGAAGACAGAACTTACAGCCCTTTTAAAGGAAGAGGTCTCCACTGCCTGCCTAAGGCCATGATTAGTCTTTTCTCCTTTAATCTACTATGCCAGCTTGGGTGCTTCTCAGTTACTGCTTCCTCATAATGAAGAAAAAGACCCCTTAACTTGACAATCAGTTGAGATTTTCCATTATGCTGATTCTTTCTCTCCCAGTTCTCTCTTTCTATCATTCTGTGTCTATGTTCATTCTTAACCTGGCTACTGAATTAACACATTCCCTGGGTTTGCATAGGACATTGTACAATCATCTAAAGAAACAGGCTAGATTCAAACAACACATTAACCCACAAAACAAAAACTAGCCAAGATTAACATAAAGCAAGCTTAGCATGTTGCATAAATGTACCTACTAGGTCTTTACTTAAGCTAGGAACTTATATAACGAGAACTAACCTATTATATTCTGACAGGCTTCAAGTCTTGAATACTTGTTGCTTCCCCATGAAGAGTTGACACTTCCAACTGATTTCCTTATTGAATGACACTCTCTGCATGATGACAGGGGAAGGATTGCCCTGTATCTTACCAAAGTCTCTGCTTTCTCTTCCTGTCTTCTAGTTCTGGGCTAAGCCTTGAAGAGTCCAAGCAATTGACATCTTCTATCCTTACTGTTCAGAATCAAGCACAGGCTGGGAATCTAGCAGCTCAGTTGCAGAAATGCACAGTAGTCCATAAAGCAGCACCCGACAAAGAACAGGCCAATTCTCTAGTGGGTCCAAAAGTACAGGTCCTCCCAGCGGTAACAGCAGCTGCTAAAGGAGAGGAGATTGAGCAGCCCAAGGCCTTGAAGCCAGAAGAGCTTGTAAATTCTTCTGACAGCAGTGCCTCCTCCCAGTTTAGCAGCCAGATTCCTCAGACGCTTTCTAAGACAGTTGAGGAGCCAGAAGGGGTGACACCACATCTTGCCTGCCTGGAGTCCCTGGTGAGACAAAATCCAAGCAAACCAAAGAATGCAGCTATTGTCGGCACTAAACCAAGCCCAGAAGTAGAATCTCAGGAGAATTCTGCAAAGGAGGCTCCTGCCACTGGCACAGAACAAATGGACACCGGAAGTCGGGCTTTCAAGAGAAAATCAGAGATTCCTGAAGAAGCACTGATGACACCCGAAAAACAGCTCCATGTGACGGAGAAGTGCCCCACCAGGCCGCCTTTTCAAGGCCCACCGCAGTGCTTTCCCATCGCGCCCATGCCAAAAGTCCCTCCGCTCAGGGTAAAGTTGCCCTCTGTGTTAAGCTCATTCCATTATATTCCTGTGATTCCTGCAGGCTGATAGGGTCCTGTGTCGCAATCCCTGCATTGTTCTATATTTCTCTCTATTTTGAAAGAGAGAGAACATCTGTCACTGCAGTTTGCTGGCTGGCTGAATCTTTGCAAGCAGAATGAGGGTGGGATGAATTCAGGTTGGGCAATTCTGATCTGGGAGACTCAGCACTAGAGTGTTAGAATAACACCCTAACTTTCACCACTGATAATCTCACTTTAAGAGGGATCCCATGGATGAAGAGGAAGGAGTCTAGATCTTATTCTTCAGCCAGGCCATTTGAGTTGGTTCATTGACTGCAGGGATTATGTGTGTAATTTTTTAATGGGATTTTAATTACTGTTTCATTATTTTTATATTTGAGTGAGTGAGTGAGTGAGTGAGTGAGTGAGTGAGTGAATGAATGAATGAATGAATGAATGAATGAATGAATGAATGAACGAACAATCAAACTATATACTGGAAAATTGCCAGTATGGAGATTGATGAATCAATACTCTAAACTTTTGGCTATTGCACCTCCTCACATTCCAGAAAGCGGTACCTTCTATTCATTATTACAGCCTCTTGAAAGAAGAGGCAGGCATAAGAAAGTTCAATATATTCCACTCCATCTGTCTGCCAAGAAGATGATGAGTGTTTTCCTTGGATTGGGAACTGACACTCATGAAGCCCATTTTGCCCTGAATCTCTTGCTTTGTTCCAAGAGAAGAAACATGAATGAGAGGTGCTTTCCCTTCCCATTTATTGATGTGCTTTCCTCTCTTCCAGATCCAAGTCTCCAGGATCCAAGGATCTCCAGCATTACTATCTCCTAGCCAGGTCTCTCCCAGGCCCCCCTTCCCAATCATCAGGAGAACAGGGGCCAGAACTCTGGCCGACATCAAAGCCAGGGCTAGGATGGCCAGGGCCCAGCGAGCAGCTGCTGCTGCCGAAGCAGCCACAGCAGCCTCCATTGCTGCTGCTGCTGCCTCCATTGTGGAAGCCATCCCGGGCCCAGGGCCAGGAGGGGGGAAAGGAGATGACAGGAGCAGTCCACCCTCAGGGAGGCCTCATGGAGCTACATTGGACATGGCAGGCTCTGGAAGCAGGACAAGTCCAAGAAGGTTTTTGCCCTCTTGTCCAGCCCCTTTCTCCCCAGCAGACTCCCCAGCTCCAGAACCAGCAGCCCCAAGCAGTGCTGCTAGAGCACAGCTACAGCCGGCTCCCCCAGCACAATCCAGAACTGCAAGCAGCAACCCAGGCCTGGAGGCTACGTCAGTCTCACAACCAGCAATAGGGAATGTCAGCTGTACAAATCCCAGACTTTTGACTGTGCCTGCCACTCAGGATGTCACAGCTTCTTTGGGCTCAACGACGGATCTTGCTTCAGTGATGGAAAAACTTAGAAATAACCCTCTTGCTCTTAACCAGGTCACAAGAACACCCTGTGGCTTTGAGACTGGAATGAACTGCAAAAGTATATCCAAAACAGCTTCTGCTGCCCACACAGGTGTTTCAGAAGACAAAGACAATGCCTTGCTTTCTGCATCTTTGGTGTCGGCTGTACCCTTCAAGGCACCCCCTCCTCTTTCTTCTCAGGCTGGCACTGTGCCCGTGTCCACCTTTTCTTCTTCTTCCCATAACACTTTGTTGGTAGCCCACAGCCCTAAACTCCCCCCAGGCTCCTCAGGTTCAAGTGGAAGTACTTCTGTAGTAAAGGCCAGCTCCAGCATTCCTGCTAATAATCCCCTGGTTGCTCAGCTGCTGCAAGGTAAAGAAGTTCCAATGGAGCAGATCCTCCCAAAGCCCCTGACAAGAGTTGAGATTAAGACTCTTACACTGCCTGTGAAGGAAGGCAAAGAGACCACAATTGTTTCCAGGCCTGGTCCTCCAAGGGAAGGGGAAGGGCAGCTGCTCATCACCTTCCCAGCAAGTGGGAAGCCAAGCCTCAGCCATTGTGGACAGTCCCAAGATCCTCCACCCTTATGTTCTTTACCAGGGCAGGACTTGTGGAGCAAACCTACAGACCTGTACAGCAGCCAGGAAACTTCAGGCAGGAGTGCCCAGGAACATATTCTCCAGACTGTCATGCAGAAAGTCCCCATGCAAAGCCTCCCTCCTGCCCCTTCTCCCCCTCCATGTCTTCCCCTCCTCCCCTCACACTTCCCATTAGAGAGTAGCTCCACCAGCCAAAGTTTCACACTGGGCTTCATAGGGAGAAGGACATTCAAGCCTGCCATGTCTGGCCATTACCTCCTGAATGTTTCTACCTATGGACGCTGCCCCGAGAACCTACGAAGAAACCTTGCCCTGCCCCCAGAGAGCCATCTGCGCTCAGATGGGCCCCTGGTGAAATTTGAGGAACAGGAGCAAACATCTAGAGATGACAGTGACAGCAGCAGTGGCGAAGATGAAGGAGACACAGATGGTGATGTGACTGAAGATGAAGCAGCACATCTCAAGGTTAAAGAGGAATCTTTGGCTCATGAAGGAGGAGGAGGAAGAGGAAGACAGGCAGCTCCCAATGTAAAACTGGAGCAGGCAGGAGTAAGCCACAAAGAAGGAAGTATTCGCCTATTCTCAGCAGGTCAAGATTATGCTGAAAGCAGCTCAGCAAAATATTTTATTCAGGCAGCCCAGGAACAAGTGGCCCAGGCAGTTAGAGGAGAAATGAGACCTTGCAGTAGGGAGCTTCAGACTGGTGCTCCAGCAAATGCCATCCCACAGCGGCCCCTACTGCTATCACCCTCACCCTCTCCTCAGCTCTTTGGAAACCCTGCTCCTGCACAGCTTGTTGGACCAGGCTACAGTGGCACGATTAATGTTTCCACTTCTCCAGACATGCATCAAGAAACTCTTCTGACTGGACTATCAGACCCCAGCCGCATGGGGGATGTAGTGTCCTTCTCTGTAACTGTGACAGCCATCCCTGCTAGCCAGTCAGCAAATACTGGTAGCCATGGGCAATCCCTCCGTGGCCAGGCTTTTGCAGAAGATGGTGGCTTGGAGGACTTGCCCTCTAAGTGCTACTGTCGCTTGAAAGCCATGATTGTGTGCAAGGGTTGCGGGGCCTTCTGTCATGATGACTGTATTGGCCCCTCCAAACTCTGTGTTTCCTGCCTTGTTGTGCGGTAGCAGGTTTGCTAGATGGCACTTCATCTAGGGAGCAGGAGGGGCATGCTGCTGAGTCAAGAGTCCCACTCCACCCCACTCCACATCTACTTTGTTTCCTCGAGAATGAAGAAAGCACCTTGGATGAATGGCTGAACCAGTGGGACAAGTGTGTGCACTTAAGGAATCATGTAAATACGTTGCATTGTTTTGTCTTAATGATTATTTTTTCCAACCTCAAGATAAATCTATGGATGTGAACTTCATGTTCATTTTGCCTCTTGTCCTACAGTAGCAGAACTCGGGCCCAGTAAGTCCCTCTTCACAATCAATGCCTCTGTTTCCCATCTGGCTGCCATCCTGGCCTTCATGTTTTTCTTTTGAAAGGACTTGCCAAATGTCCTAATGAAACATAGCAGCTGAGACTTATACATCAGCAGCCCTAAGCAACAGGAGCATCAAAAGGTGGGCAGTTAGCCTACCACACAGTTGAATTTGGTAGTGTTGCTGTTTAGTCTAAAGAAAAATTTAATCACCCTGAGGAGAGGCAGAGGTAGTTTTCTTCAGATCATCAGGATTTGCAGGGCAGAATGGGGTTTGGTGGGGATGGTCAGTTTATAGCTTTGAATTATTCAGTGGCAGCAATGATGATTTCCATTTCCAACCCTTACAAGAATGGGTATGCTATGGCCTTTGAATTTTAGTCAAGATGCAGCAGCATAGACAAACTCCTTTGGTCCCAGTCTCCAGATAATTTATTTTTCCAGAAGAAAAATGTCTCATTGAGGTAAATGCTATAGAACAGGGCAGGAGAAATGCTTCAGGTTTTTTAACATCAGGCCATAATTTTGAGTCAGCTAGTCAGCTTCTGGAGTAAGCCCTGACTCTTGAATAATTGAAGATTTCAAGCTGGAAAAGATAGTGAGGGCTCATTATTCCTTTGTGTATATTCTGCAGTTGCACCCTAACGGTGTGGAGTATTATATTTAGAGGCAGAATTGATCCTGCTCAGAATCAGCATGTTTAAAAAAAAAAAAAAAAGTTTCTCAACACGGCTTTCCCTTATAGAAGGATGGGTATTTCCTTGGAAGTAATCTGTAGGAAGCAATGTCAGTGATGGATGGAACTTAAACATTCAGGATGGAACCTGAGGCAAACAAAATTAGTGCTACTCTTTTTGACACCTTATTTTCTGTTTGCCATCCCCTCTCCCTCCCCCACCCCTATTCACTTTTATTTTACCAGAGACTCAAACTAATTGCTTATAAAGATTACACAGTAATCAGGTTTCATGCTCCTGATTTATTGAACATACAGAGCTGCCTTGTGCTCTTTGTCAGGCTTGCCAGGGTTGTGCCAAGATAGCTCTCAAAGTATGGAAGGATTTCCTATGTCTCCTTCCACTCTTAAGACCACTAGGAACAGACTAAATTATGGAGGTTTGATGAAGCCAGCATAATTTATTCCAGCTCTAGATTTCACTTTTTGTGAGGTTGATTTATAATGAGTAAGAGATACTTAGAGACCTCTGCAGCTCTGTTCAATGTCTCCACTGTAGTTTGGTAGCATAACTACAAAACTGTACATGGCAATTTGGGCCCCAGTCCCCAGTTAATGTGCAGGTTTTTAGATGAAGTATCACCGTTTGAGTAACAGGAAAAGCTATAAGAGATAAATGAAGAGAAGAACAATGGTTTAGAAGGATTATAATAGGTACAGCATTTCCCCTTTGCTAAGATAAGATAAGAGCAGGAAAAGATGGTTCAGCCAAGGCACACCCTCTCCTTGCAAGTTGAACTATATCATTCCAGTTTCCATCCTTCATCTTAGATAAAGGCTGATACTGTTGTTTGTGGCCTGAGACAGTTTCATCTTTTGAAAAATGTGTATCAGCTGTATTTTGAACAAATTAGAGTTGCTTGGAGGAAAGCCAAGGGCTCCATTACCCATTTCGGCAAGCATTGCCCGTTTCTATTACTCATCTCATCATGGGAATACCACACTGCAATGAGTGCTACAGGAATTTAATCATTTTTCCTCATGATTTTAAGTCATGATCTGGCCTCCTGTTTTTAATAATGGTCTGCCAGATACTTCTCAGCAGCTTCTTGGTAGGGTATGGACGTCACATCTCTTTCCAGTTGTGTGTGCCCTAACAACTGCAACTCTTGGTAGGCCTATTCTTTTCCCTGAATTTGTATTATCTCTTGAAGAAGGCATCAAAGGCAGTATCACATCTTGTATCGGTCAATTCTGTAATTTAGCCATGTATTCTTTTGCTTGTTCTAAATCTACAGTATTTATACAGTACTATCAGTATACATTGTGCTTTATAGAATTACATAGGTAAAAGAGTGGTCAACATCCACAGGAAGCATATATTTTAATAGAATCAACAAGTAAGAACTAGGAAGAGAGAAGAATTTAGGTAAATTCAATTATGATACTTCTTTACATTAAGAATCAAAGTAAATAAGTTAAAGATGGCATGAATTTCTAGTGCTTACACTTTTCTTTACCTACTTTATTCATGCAATTCATAATTATATAAACTGGTATCCTCATCCTTTAGCTGTTTTTTTTCCCTAAGAAAACAAGTCTATATTTTTAGGATTTCACTGGCAAGAGGTTAACTCTAGCCTTTTGTCCTTTAGCTGTCTAGTCAGCAGCTTTTCCTGGCATCCAGATGAGGGCACACTAAATTGTCATGGACCTAGCTTTCATTTCAGACCTTTTCCTAAAGTGAAATTAGCTTCTTTTCATATTTGATGTACAGATTTTGCATTTTCATAAAGCTATCAACCATGACTTCAAGATAATTTTTCCACCTAGGTCCTATCAGATTCTGTAACTCTGCTGTGGAAGGGTTGTGTTAATTATTATTTTTTGCTTTAAGCCTCCAGTCATTCTTTAGCTCTTTACAGCTGAATTTTTTATCTCCTGAATTTTTTGGTGTTACCTAAAAACTTGAGCAATTTACTGTTCAGCCATAACTAATCAGGGAAACAAATACAGATTATATAAGAACATACTAAAAAGCACAGACCCTGGGGAATTCCCTTATTCATATTCCTCAGATTTGTTTATACCTACTCTCCACTTCCTGCTCTTTCACCAAATATTAATCCACTAACAAGATCTTACTCATAATTATTGACTTCGTTCAGCCTTTCAGTTTAAAATGCAGAAGATCTCTGGTATCCATATACTGATGCTTTTCAACACTCCAAAAGATTAGTGAAATGAACTTTCTTCTGCAGAAACCATGCTTATTCTTCCTCAGCAATTATTATGTGTAGTAGTAAAAACTTTTGTAATTAACTGGAGGAAAATGTTAGGTGACTGTTTTCTTTTCTGATCTTTTTTTTTTAATACAATGATGTTGCTTTGGCTACCTTTTCATGTTCTATTAAGGAGGCTGAGTTCAGTAATGATTTGCTATGTCACTAAAGTTTTATTGTGATGGATCAGTGGACTAATAGTTAGCCCCTGCCTTCCAAATCTCTCCTAACAGTATCCAACCAGTTCTGGCTTTTTAATCCAATTTCTGTTGGAGCCTTCACTCGGAGCTAAACACACTGCAACTGAATTATTTATTCCATTGTCGTTCTACCTTCCAAGTAGTGAATGTTCATTTTTTGAGATTGTCCTGTTACCAACATCTCAAATTTCTACCATACTTGAGAATCACATCAAAGGGGCAGTTATATAACTAAAATGGGCTTACTGGTTCCCATTGAGTTTTATAGAATACAAGTGAGTGGTCAAACTATGATTCTTGCCTCATGTATTAGCATAATTAATGGAAGATTTGTCCCCTCCCATTCACAATGGTGCCTCAGATTTTTTCTCCTTTCTCCTTCAGAATTGATTAGTAGCCATTAACTCCCGCAGGGAAGAACAGAATGTTTCTCTTAGGGGGCAGAATTTTGATAGTAGTAGTGTTCATGTGCCTGAGGAGTAAATTCTCCAGCATCCTTCAGCAGGGACATTTTACCATAAAGCAGGCAGAAGCACATTTCATACTTGCAGCCCTAGGCTCATGTATCACAGTGAGTTTACTTTTAACTTAAGATAATTTATATACCATTATAAAGACTCTGAACAATGTTCAGAAAAATCTGACATAAAAGTTACCTTCTATAGTACACTGTCATTACAGTGACAGTCATTCCTTCACTAAGCAGAAAGATGATCAAAGGCCCAATTAAAAAGGAAGGCCTTGGGAGATTCCCAAAACACCAAGAGTGAGCAGGCCAAGCACATCTCCAAGGGCAACCTGTTCAACAGGATGGGGGCTGCCACAGAAAAGGCCTGGGCTATATCCATCTGTCTTCATATGGGTGTGATCTTAAGGAGGAGCTCCTTTGATCTGACAAACAGAGAAAATTTTGGATAAGGGGGTCCCTGAGACAGCCCAGTGATCCACTGGATTAAGGGCCTCTTACTGATAACAAATTACAAACATAAGGCTGGCTAGAAGATAGCTAGAAAATTTGTAAGAGGACAGATTAGCTGTTAAAATAAACATAATTGCACCTAAGGCTGTGTGAAAAGCCAAGAACCACAACTTCTCTCTAGGTTCCAAAGTTCTGAATGAGGACTGTAATTCTTGCCAATGGTTTCCCGTAGTTAGATCCAACATTACTGCCATGTAAAAGGGTTTTAAGCATCTTCCATGGCTTATCTTGTGGCTAATGATTGTTTTGCAGAAAGGGGCATGGAAGAGCAGATTATAATCACCCTCCCCTTAGTTTATCAGAGGGTGCTATGTCAGCTGAATGGAGCAACACTGAGAAAAGTTTATATTGATTCAGCCACCTCACTCAAGCCAAGCAATATTCAGCTGATGGAAAGAGAAAGCCTTCTCTTTTGGCTAAAATAAGGGTAAAGCTGTTGCTGCATCTACTTTCACTTTTCATCCTCATGCAGTTGCTAGAGCAGGATGGATCTGCCTGTCTGCTATAAAATAACTCAGTCTGCCCTTGAGCCAAAAGGGCATGACATAACATGACTCTTAAATTTCTCTTGGCTGAAACACCATGCGTACTTGGTTGTATCTTTATGAGTGGGGCTTACAGGGCCTGAGACACAGAGCCTTGAGTATTCAACAGTTAAATGGGACATCTGTGCCCTTGGCCTTGTTGGTTGGCGATAATTGAAGTGATCAGCATATTTGGAGAGCGCTGGATTGGGTAAATCTGGAAAGTTCTGCATAATCCTTTCGAAACTGAACAGAAACAGTGAATTGAATCTTCTGGGCTATATCTGACATCTGTAACAGCATCTGATATCCTCTTTCTATGAAACTTGCTTCCTTCCTTCCTCCCTTCCTTATAGTAAGCAGATATTTGTGATGATTCTGGGCATAGGAAATATTCTATATTGGTAAGTGTTTTCTTAAGTAGAACTACAAAGGAATTTATACATGTGTACTCAAGTGGAAGTTCAAGTAGAAAACCAAACGGAGTGTTTTCTGGTCAACAGAAAGTCCATGCAAAACAAATTTGCACTTAAGTGCTTTTTGAAAGGGTACTTGGATGAAGTGCAAGGAATTTGAACAATGCTCCTAACAGCTGAAGCATGGAACTTGGCTGTAAACCCTACTGATACATGCAAGGTTAAAATAGAAGGTGGGAGCAGCCTTGATTCTCAAAGAAGTTGAGGTGGGATTTCTAGATGGGTAATTATAAGCTTAGCAGGCCATGCTTTCTAGCTGGCCCATTAAATTGCACTACAGATGGCTGTTGTCTGTGTTACCAGTTCTTTAATTTCATCCTCCGATTATAAGCCCTTGGGACACGGAGGCATCATTTTTATTGAATTAAGATGATTTAATGATGCAACTTGTGCTGGAATTGTGGAGTGAATCAGCTATCACTCAACATATAGTCACCCCAAATTAACACCCTGGCAAACATTTGGGTTTATAGTTCAATTTGAGAAAGAAAAGTCTATGTGCCTGTGAATTGCAGTGTACACTACATCTTTCTCTTCTGGTGTCAGGTACTGCAGCTTTTAGAAGCCATTAAAAATGCCCAGGTAGTTTGTATTTTCTGTCATTTGTATTTTGGGTACAAACCACAAGACCATTTTTCATATTCCATCAGTAGGCCACTTTGCTTGCTGCAGTATTACTTTTATCAGACCAATGATGTGTGTTTATTTTGAGTCTGGTGGAGCTGGGATCTTTTGTAAGAATGCAAAGAATGAAATTGAAGCATTTGACCTGTCTTCTGTGTGATCAATCACTGTACTGTGTTTTCAGTGCTTTTTCACCAATGAGAAAAACAAGTTGGGACAGTATTTTCCTCAGTGCAGGCAGGGTCCATTACTGTGTAAATGTGCATCATCTGGTACCCGCAGTCCATTGCTGACCCCAGCTTTGAGGTATGGCACTAGGGAGGGGCCAGATTGGCAGCATAAATGAGTTGCAGGAGCCTGGTGGCCACCAAGTATCTTCATCTCTGTCAAGGTTCATTTTTCAAAACTGGTGTTAAAGCTGAAGTTAAAGTGTATGTGTGTTTCTGTGTGTGTGTGTGAGAGAGAGAGTTTGCCAAGGTAGAAGGCACTCTCTTTCTGTTAGAATGACTGAAGATAAGACACTTCTCTGACTTCCACATTGTATCCTGCAGGAATGAAACTACACATAGCCATTTAGGTAAATTAAGAGATTGTGGCAGGGAGAATATTCTTTTTTCCTTCTTTCTTCCCCCCCCCCATGCAATACATTTGATATGATTGAAAATCAATTTAAGAGCTTATAAGTAATATATTTTAATTAATATATATTTTAGTACCTCTACTTCAAGAATGATGAAAGGTTTGTGAAATTGGTGTGTGTATGTGTGTATTTGCAATTTTGAACATGTTTTTCCCCCTAGCAGGGGACCTGGTAAGCACCCAGGTTGCAATAAAAATTGAAGAACAACTGTAAAAAAAAAAAAAAGTTTGCCAGGAGCTGTTTCATTTTTATAAGCCAAGAAGTGAGTAAAGATACCTTAGAGTATACTAAACTTTAATTGTTGCCTTTTAAAAAGAGACTTAAATTGGAATTGAGAATATGTATAGAGAAGTCAGGTTGAGACCATTTAAAAAGTCATATTTTTTCACAAATAATATAGAAAAATATTTTACTTAAAAGTTTTAAGTATTTGAAATAAATATAGGTATGTAAATATACTGTATGTACTTCATATATTCTTTTATTTTACAATTTATTGTAAACAGATGGATATTAAAATTCTTTGAACTGGTTTGATTGTAGATTCCAACTTTTGCAAAAGTAATGATGAATTCTATTGATCATGGCAACACCCAAAAGGTACCACCCATAATTCTTTCCATTATGCTCCCTTTTTCCCATTTCTCTTTTGTTCCTTGCAGAATATAAGAAATATAATCAAAGACACATCAGAAAGCTTCAAAATTGAGTGAAGCTTGGATTGATGATAATAGCAACAGTAATGGATAAGATCAGAGAATGCTTAGTGTGTACTAAGTAAGCTAACCATAATGTTTTATGCTGGCTGCAATTTCTGGATAACTATCAAGGGGAGCCACAGATCACTTTACAGTAATTTAATGTTGAAGTTATGAATATGTGGGGTACTGAGGCAAGAATATCTCTATTCAGGATAAATGGTAGCTGCCATACTAGTCAAAGTTTGCTATAAGAGCTTTTTAGCCACTGAAGCTACCTGGGCCTCTAGTGACAAAGTTAAATATTCAGTCATCCCGAGATTACATGCATTTCCTGCAAAGAGAATTCTCCCCCCCCCCCCCCCCC